TTTCGAAGTTCTTACCCACTTTCATGGCGTGATTTATCTTTGGTCATTCTTGCAACAGCCACACTGGCTCTTAGATGCTCCCCAAAAGGTAGCATATCTGAAATGCTGAAACAACAAAACAATAAGTACTGTCTGTGTCCTCCGCCCTGGAATACTCCTCTAGATATCCCTAAGCTCACTCCCAACTTTCAGGTCTCTGCTCAAATGTCAAACCAAGGTACATGCCCTTGATTGGAAATTGAACCTGTGACCCTTCAGTCCGCAGGCCGACACTTTATCCACTGAGCCAAACCGGTCAGGGCAAAGTTCGAAGTTCTTAACCAACTTCCATGGACTGATTCTATCTTTGGTCAGTCTTGCTACAGCCACACTGGCTTCTTAACTGCTCCACCAATAAGTAGCATATCTGAATGCTTCAGCCACAGGGCCTTTGTGCTGTCTGTGTCCTCCGCCTGGAATACTCCTCCAGGTATCCCTATGCTCACTCCCAACTTTCAGGTCTCTGCTCAAATGTCTCCTCAGTGAGAGGTCCCTGACTACTCTTACTGTAACCCACACCCCACCTCCCATTCCACCATCCTCCTTATCTTGCTCAACTTTTTCCGTGACATTTATCACCACCTAACATAAGAAATGTATTTAGTTCCTATGTTTATAGGAATCTGCCTTCCCCACTAGAATGTCAAGTCCTCAGGGACAGGGACTTTGCCTTGTTCCCTGCAGTATCACTCATATCTAAACCCATAATAGGAGTTGGCCACATAGTGGATGTTCGGTATTTGTTGAAAAAAAAAATCGGTTCAAAAATGGGGGAGAGGAAAAGAGTTAAAAACTTCAAGACACACAAGAAGCCAAAACCGGTTTTGGCTCAGTGGATAGAGCAATTGGGCCTGCGAACTGAAAAGGTCCCAGGTTCCGATTCTGGTCTAAGGGCATGTACCTGGGTTGCGGGCACATCCCCAGTAGGAGGTGTGCAGGAGGCAGCTGATCGATGTTTCTCTCTCATTGATGTTTCTAACTCTCTATCCCTCTCCCTTCCTCTCGGTAAAAAAATCAATAAAATATATTTTTTTTAAAAAGGGGGGGGGTTGGGAAAGATAGAAACCCAGAAACCTAAAGACATAGGGGAGGCAGACAGGAAGAGCAGGGTTTGCAAAGACATTTATAGACACTGAAAGAATAAGAAACATATCTCTGTTCTGCCCCTTCTCAAAAAAGAAATTTTAAAAAATGGCACCTATCCCTGGCTGGTATGCTCAGTGGTTAGAGTGTCGGCCTGCGCACTGGACGATCCAGCATAGGTTCAGTCAAGGGCAAGTACCTGGGTTGCAGGTCTGATCCCAGACCCCGTTGGGGGTGCATGTGGGAGGTGACCAATTGGTGTGTCAAATCAATGTTTCTCTCCTTTCTCCCCTCCTCCCCCCACTTGCTCTAAAAATCAATGGAAAAAATATCCTCACTACTCAGGTGAGGATAAAAAAAAAAGGTACCTACCACCAACTACCAGTGCCAAACACCTGTCATCCCCTTGACTCCCCTCTGAAACGCACATCCTAGTCCAACAGCAATCCTCTTTGATTCACCTAAATCTATAATCCATCCTCCTGGCTCTTACTCTGTTCCTCACCCTGGTTCTATCCAGCATCATCTCCCACCTGAACTGTCACTTCAGCCCCTTCCTAGTTTCCTGCCTCAGACCTCTGCCCTTAGTCTCTCCTTCTGCCCTCAGTCTCTCCCCACTGCCCCTACTAGACAACCTGAGTCAGATACATAAAAGGCAAAGTTCTAAGTGTTTTTTTAAAAATATATTTTATTGACTTTTTACAGAGAGGAAGGGAGAGGGACAGAGAGTCAGAAACATCAATCAGCTGCCTCCTGCACACCTCCCACTGGGGATGTCCCGGAAACCAAGGTACATGCCCTTGATTGGAATTGAACCTGTGACCCTTCAGTCCGCAGGCCGACACTCTATCCACTGAGCCAAACCGGTCAGGGCAAAGTTCGAAGTTCTTAACCAACTTCCATGGACTGATTCTATCTTTGGTCAGTCTTGCTACAGCCACACTGGCTTCTTAACTGCTCCACCAATAAGTAGCATATCTGAATGCTTCAGCCACAGGGCCTTTGTGCTGTCTGTGTCCTCCGCCTGGAATACTCCTCTAGGTATCCCTATGCTCACTCCCAACTTTCAGGTCTCTGCTCAAATGTCTCCTCAGTGAGAGGTCCCTGACTGGAATTGAACCTGTGACCCTTCAGTCCGCAGGCCGACACTCTATCCTCCTTATCTTGCTCAACATTTTGGCAAAGTTCGAAGTTCTTAACCAACTTCCATGGACTGATTCTATCTTTGGTCAGTCTTGCTACAGCCACACTGGCTTCTTAACTGCTCCACCAATAAGTAGCATATCTGAATGCTTCAGCCACAGGGCCTTTGTGCTGTCTGTGTCCTCCGCCTGGAATACTCCTCCAGGTATCCCTATGCTCACTCCCAACTTTCAGGTCTCTGCTCAAATGTCTCCTCAGTGAGAGGTCCCTGACTACTCTTACTGTAACCCACACCCCACCTCCCATTCCACCATCCTCCTTATCTTGCTCAACTTTTTCCGTGACATTTATCACCACCTAACATAAGAAATGTATTTAGTTCCTATGTTTATAGGAATCTGCCTTCCCCACTAGAATGTCAAGTCCTCAGGGACAGGGACTTTGCCTTGTTCCCTGCAGTATCACTCATATCTAAACCCATAATAGGAGTTGGCCACATAGTGGATGTTCGGTATTTGTTGAAAAAAAAAATCGGTTCAGAAATGGGGAGAGGAAAAGAGTTAAAACTTCAAGACACACAAGAAGCCAAAACCGGTTTGGCTCAGTGGATAGAGCGTCGGCCTGCGGACTGAAGGGTCCCGGGTTCAATTCCGGTCGGGGGCATGTACCTTGGTTGCAGGCACATCCTCAGTGGGGGGTGTGCGGGAGACGGCTGATCGATGTTTCTCTCTCATCGATGTTTCTAACTCTCTATCCCTCTCCCTTCCTCTCTGTAAAAAATCAATAAAATATATTTAAAAAAAAAAAAAAGACACACAAGAAAAAAAAATGATGTTAACTAAACTTATAATAATCATTTCATATTTTACACATAATTATGTTGTAGACCTTGGACTAATACAGTACAATGTTATATGGTAATTATATCTAAGTGAAACTGCAAAAAAATCCAAGACAGAAACTCGGGGCAAGAGGCAGTTGCGCCATATACCAGTAGAGGACCCACAGCCTGATACTTACACAAGCCTTAACTGAGATCTGCAGATCCTATGAAATGTGCAGGCATCTAAAAGGCGATACCACCCTCTAGTGGC